GACCCGGCGGTTGTCGCTGCGGCAGAGTCTCTCGCGGGGGGCTGGAGTCCGGTCGGAACCCTGGTTCCCGGCCGGCGCTGCGAGCGGACCAGTGGACGGTGGGGCGGCTGAGCGGCAACCCGGCTCTGGAACCCGCCCGGAGTCCCGACTCTGCAGCCGTGGCCTTCCGCCCGCCTTCTCCTCGGCGCCCCCTGCTGGCCGGAGCGGGACTCGGCGGTGCGCTCTCGGACTCCACTGTGGAAGGCCACGGCTGCGACCGCCTTGCTCTCACTTTTTAGTTCTTTTATTAATTTTGGGCTTTGTTTTGAGACAAGGTATCAGAAACAGAATTCCCCTATGTAGATAAGGCTGACCTTGAACTCAGAGATTCCCTAGGGTTAGGATTACAAGAATGAGCCTCGATGCTCAGCTTCCTGGGCAGGTTTTTCTCTTCTGCAAACAAAAACAAACAAACAACAACAACAAACCCACTGCCTGGCTTTCAAACAAGAGTCCACAGGGCTGCAGAAATGGCTCAGCAGTTTAGAGCACTGACTGCTCCGTTCAATTCCCGGCACCCACGTGGCAGCTCACACCTGTCTGCCCTTTTCTGGCCTCCTCGGACACAAACATACACGGCAGCGAAACGCCCGTACACATACAGTAAAAATGAATAACTTGTAAATTTTTTAGAAAGTTCCCAAGAGTGAGATCAGCAGACCCAGAGCATAGGAAAGCTTCTTGTCAGGCCAGCTTACCTCAGGACGGCTGTGCTGGTTCCGTTCGCAGCAGTGAGACTCTGTTTCCCTGAAAACCCAGCCTCGGCCTCATCATCTTAACTGATTCTTACTAAACATATGGGTAACAGCCTGGATTTCCTTGACTGTGACCCAGTGTTTGCCTGTTGCTGAGGACAAGGGAGACCATGACCTTAAGTATTCGACCTTCCTGTCAAGTGTCTTCAGTTTACCCTGCTACTCGACCCCAGCCCACTCTGCACTTGGCTAAACAGGAAACTGTGTGGGCAACTGTTGGAATCCAGAGGGCACCCGCGACTCGGGAGTCTCCCTTGAGTCCTCTCACCTGGTCAACTCCTCAGGATGGACACCTTTTATGTTCCACCTGCCTCTTACCTAAGTAGTACTGGACCAGCAGGGGGAGCCTGGCTCTTCTAACAGATGTCCCAAGATGTCCACTTCTAGAACCTCCCAGTATCGAGAGTTCCTTCACTAACTGTCTCTGCAGAGGACTGGAATGAACACACACACACACACACACACACACACACACACACACACACACACACACACACACACACACACACACACGGCCACAGCACTCTCTGCTTTGGAGACCTACCTCTGGCACCCACTCCCACTGTCTGTGTGATAGAGACAGCTTCTTTTCTGTTAAATGGTAGTGCGGCTGAGGTGTGTGATTTGTAGAGTTCCCCCCAACTCCTACAAAAGGTTGGCAGTAGAGAATGCTATAGTCAAAGAAAGAGGCAAGTCCAGGACCAAAGCACTCAGCTACACTGGAGCTTCTGACTTTGAGGCGAGGCACTAGGTACTGGCCTATTCATCTGTGTAGACGCAGCAATAATACCAGGAAATCAAGGTCCTCCACTTCAGTTTCAAGTGCTGGGACTACAGGATGTACCACCGGATCTAAATATACTCACTCCTCCACCCCCGCCTCTGCCCTGGGACAAAGTCTCACTAGCTAGCCTGGAACTCATCATATAGACCAGGCTGGCCTCAAACTCATAGACCCACCTGCCTCTGCCTCCTGAGTGCTGGGATTAAAGGTGTGTGCCACCATACTTGATACTGTAAATATTCTTGATCAGCAAGAAGCAAGCTGGTAAGGACAGCTTCAGGACCTCCAATTATTTCCACATAGCCATTTCTCACTTCCTGGGGAGATGGCTTATTCTCTTCTTTGCTCCTATCTCATCCTGTCCAGCTTCCAGGGAGGTGCAGCTTCCAAGTGGGTCTTGCCTCCCCTGGACCTGAGCCCTGTGACATCCATTGGCCCCGGGTGCTGCCTCTGATATTTTCCCCCACTGAATTTTCTTCTGAGTCTGCTCTCTAGTTTTCCCATTGAGTCACAAACCCTGTTCCTGGTAATTGACTCTCCAACATTGTCCTTTGTAATCGACTCTCTTGGTCCTCTGTAGTTCTTTGTAGTAATCACAGTGTGATTAATTAACGCCCTGTACAATTGTGTGCTAATTATCTGCATTACCCACCACTGTCTTGTAAACTACATAAGGATGAGAACTCATTTCTTTCCTATTTCTTCCACACTTAGTACTTAATAAATATGTGTTGAAATAGTAGGAACTTCTAAGAGTATGTTCCAGAGGGCAGGGACTGTTTCTGTGTGGGGGTGGGAAGGCAAATGTGCAGAGGTGTGTATGCATGTTCATGTGTGAAAGCCAGAAATCAACCTCAGCTGGTGTCCTCAGGAACCATCTACCATCTCTCGTTGGCTGGGGAATTCACCAAATAGGCTAGACTAGTTGGTTGGTGAATGTGCTTCGGAATCTGCCTGCCCTTGCCTTCCCAGTGCTGAGCTAACAAGTGCATGCACTCACTATACCTGGCTTTTTATGAGTTCTAAGCTCAGTTCCAAATGCTTGCCCAGCAAATGCTTTACCAGTTGATCTGTCTCCCAAGCCCCAGGCTCTGATCTGTTTTCTTCATGGCCTGCAGAGAATGTAGCACTGAATGAACAGTACTAGTCATTTGCAGGATGAGTGAATGAGCGAACAAATGAATGAACCAGTTGCTGAATGAATGAATGAATGGACAGACAGATCACCCATCTCTTTTTCCCCTTTGCATCGTGTCTGAAGCTGATCTCTCGGTCCTGACCGGCCTTTCTGGCAGCTAGCCCCATAAGGAGGTAGGTGAGAGAAGCCAGATGCCATTCACGTTTGAGACAGTGTCTTGCTAAGGTACTCAAGCAGGCCTTGAACTTCTGATCTCTGGCCTCAGACTCTGGAGTGGCTGGGATTATAGGCCTGCACTGCTACCAAGTGAGTCCCAGGAAAGGCGCAAAGCTACACAGAGAAACCCTGTCTCGAAAAACCAAAAAAAAAAAAAAAAAGAAGAAGAAGGTAACCCTGTGGGTCCCAGTGTTATGAGCAGGCAGAAACCCTCTGGGCACACCTTGGATTAGAACACAGTGAGAGCAAGCTGCACATAAGCATTCCTGCAGTCACGTGTTTAATGTAAAGCCAACCTCCTGTCCATCAAACATCAGACCAGGAGTGCTGCTGGCCTTCATTCAGAAGTCATAGGGCTTTGCCAGACAGCTTTGATGACCAAGGCCTTTTAAAGACACCCTGGAAGATAGGAACTTCTCTTTGCTCTGGGCAGATCTCCCCAGAGCAAATAGTTAACCTTAGACTTGATGTGAGCACTCTCTTCAGAGTTGAAAGCTGCTTAAGAATAAAAGTCATGACATGTGATTGCTTGGAGGCCTCACTAAGAGTTTCAGACAGGAGCGTGGGGGGAGCTGTAATCCCCCTCCTTAGAGTCAGAATAGAGTCCCCAGGCCCTGTGGGACTCACAGGCACTGTAGGAGGGGGAGGGGTGCCCCTCTGCCTTTTGTCTGCATTTTCTTTTAATCAGCTTTAATAAAGGAAGAGGTTGACCAATGTCCACACTGGTCACTGTTGGGATTTCTGCTTTTTCGCTTGTTCTTCATATGTAAGCAGAGTGCTTGGCTTCTGACTTTGAGCCTGCCTCCTGGGGTCCTCACACATGCTCACCCAGTTTGCTCAGGCTGCAGGACAAGTAACTGGGGGTCCTAGTAGGAAAGGCAAGGCTGCCATGCTGCAAGCAGAATCAACCGGTGTGGAGCCCTACAGCGCCTGGAGCCCCTATGGTGAAGCTCATGTCACATGTTCATTCATTCAACAAATGTTTATTGAACAGTCACTAAGTACCACGCATGGGGGAAGATGCTGGGATCCGGAAGTGGATAGTGTAGTAGGAAAAATCCGAGCCACGAAGATGCGGACACACTGCCATGCTTTCATGGGAAAGAGACATAAATATGGACCCATGTCACAGCGGGTGAGAAGAGCCATGGGAAAGATAAACCGGAAAGGGAGAAGAGTGGTTGAACACTGGCCAGAGTTCTACTCTTCCTTTTAATCTTGTCCTTCTGTGCAAACAGGAAGCTCACGGACGCCCGGGGGCAGCGCTCTTGGCAGGCCCTGTATTCCTACATTTGACCTTAGCCAAAAGGCTGAGAAGTACTTAACTGTCTACCTGATGGTCCTCCTCCCGTGCACTCCAGTCCTCCCCGAGCCTGGGGACCAGCTGTGCTCTGCTCGGCTTTCTTCTCCTGGGCTTCTTGCAGAGTCAGCTCCTCACCAGCCTCTGTGCCCCCGGGTGTCCTGGTCTCAGTCATGTAGCCCTGCCACTCAGTGCTGGCCCAGCGCTTTCTCGAATTCAGTGACTCCACCATTACTAGACACTCGGACTTCCTTCATGGTATCTCTGAGGCTGG